TTATTTTTATTATTTATTGCACAACACTCGCCCACATTTCCGTGTCGTCAGCGATGACGCATAATAGATGCGACGAATACGGCGAAGTGACGTATTTATGGATTTTTCCACTTTATTAGACGTATTTGGACTGATGCGACTTAATAAGACGGTGCGACATGTACGGCGGAAAATACAGTAATGACAAAAGAATGCTTCGGACGGGCGTGCCATTTTGTAGTTTTCTTTCATGTAACACCAGTCAAAAGAACTGCACTACCCAGAAGCCAACAGTGCTTCTGGCCGCTGCTTTCTGCTGAAATGGAGGGATAGTTCTGATTCGAACCAGACTAAAAAGTTTGGTCCTTATTCGTAGTGACTTTGATGCTCACTGGATGCAGAGAGCCGTACGGAACCAACCGGGAATTGGACCAGAACTACTTCCAGCCTCATTGGTCAATCTGACTGCTGCTTGCTGGCCCATGAATCCTCTCGAGCGGGGAGGTGTTGCTTGGAGGTCCGGTGTCTTCTCCAGAGCTCACCCGGACCGTTTTCATTCGGATTTCTCTGGACTCGATCTGGACCATTGTGTGGTTTTGTGCAGGCTCTCCAAAGGTCCGTCTCTCTCTAAAATCACCTGGTGCTCAACGGCTGCAGAGCTGACCAGAACTGGACCAAGGCTGTTGAGTGACCATATAAAATTTAGCAGCGCTGTACAGTATGTTGTTAAAATTTGTAGTATTGAGTCAGAACTTTATAAAGCGTTGCAATATTTAGGACAAAATGATTTGTGCCAAACAAAATCAGAACCAGGTGAGAACTAGTGTGAATGAATGCTAACAGGCTCACCTGTGTGAGTTTAGTAATTTACATTAAGTGGGTTAGTTGAAGCAAATGATGCTATACAGTCATCACTTCAAGCACAACAGGTTTCTATACATTTTAAAGCGATTGTGTTAACTGTTTTAATCTGCATTCATTTTGTATAAAAATGTATCAAAACCATAAAAATGTGGAGGGAAATGCCAAGTTGAACATCGCCATCTGCTGGTAGATAATAAAAACTGCATGTAAAATTAATTTAAAAAAAAAATTCTGATTACAGCTTTCATTTATAATTTTATTTAAACTTTTCCTCACTGTTACAAAGTTATCGTGCCCTGTGTGTATGGATGTATGAACAGACGTGTGTATATTTTGTTTTTATAAAAGTCACAGTAGTTTCTGAGATAATCGTCAGTGTTGCATCGTAGTTGTGGGAGCCTCTAATGTCTAGTTATTGGAGAACTGTGTTAAATTACTGCAGACGGGCGTTTGAACCGTTGAGTTCTGCTCTTCTTGCTGGCAGGAACAGAACCTTCCACTCCGTCGCTTCACTGAGTTTCTGTTCTGAAACGAAGCGGATTTCTCACAGTTTAGAAATCCTCTGAACGACTCGTGCAAACGCCTCCAGGACTGTTTTCTCTAACTGACCGGCTTCTAAATTAAAATGTTCTTCGTGCATCGTGGCCGTTTTTCCATCCTTGAGGTCCAAGTATCCTCGGAACAATCAAACTGTGGAACGAGGTGTGATAACGATGTGTCTGTTTGTTGCAGGCCTTTCTGTGGGACCATTTGGAGCTCTGCAGAGCGCCCTTCTTCAGAACATCGTGTAAGTCCAGTCTAATGCAAACGGCACTGATCTTCTGACTTTAGACCCATTAGGTTTGATCAGTAGTTTAAATTGTAAAACTAATCACATTCACAGGAGGTAAACAGTGAATAAGTTAGTTTTATTATTATTGTACTTCCAGCTGGTTCACCAGTTTGAAATAACTTTTTAAAGGTCAAAATGTCGGCCTCAAAAATGATGAAACTGAATCCATTTTGTTTATTCTTCTTGTTAATAACTTTTCTGGCTGGCATTTTATAATGTAAATGAATTTTTTTTAATGCCCTGACGTGACTTTTGTTGTTGTGAGTTAACATTATATTAACGAACGGAGTTGAATTTAATAGATTTATTGTCAGTGGCAAGAAATTTAAAACGTCCAACTGAGTTTAAAGAAATCACAACCATGTTTTTACACATTACTTCCACTAGAGGGCGATCGTGCCACGTATAATAACGAGCATCTGCACAAGGAGTTTTGTTTTTCCTCTCCAAACTGTACAACAGCACTGACTTTATGTTTTTGGAACAATAATTAAATGAGAATTAGGGCAACACATTACAGAGCAGCAAGATAATTTACAAAAATTCCACAGAGCTGTGTGTAAAAACAAGAACATGCATTTTAAGAAACAAAAAAAAAAAAAAAAAAGAGTTGCATTAAGTGGAAATGCACAAGCACCGGTGTCAAAATGGTCTAAAAACGTTGGTTTCTTGGGTTTGACTCCTCGACAGGTACTTCCTGTGTGGAGATGACATGTTAGATTAAACTGTGTGCGTGCTGTGGACTGGAGATATGCACCAACTCTCTGCAATCCTTTATAAACGAGAATAGTTGTGGATTTTTCCCCGCTGGAGTGGATTTTGGCTCATTAGATGCAAAGTAGAATAAACTCTTCGGAGATCAATTTAACTAAACCGGTTTATTTAACTTTTTTTTTTTTTTTTTTAAGGATTCAAGGCTTTTAAGCCAGAAATCACAACAAAGTTTATATGAGCACTCATGACTCTTTTATTACATGGTAGAAAAAAAGTCTTTAAATATTGAAGATTAGGCTGGATTAAATTATTTATAGTGTAAATAGTTACATAGCTAAATTACCAGCTGGATAAATTAATGCTCGATTAAAAACAAGTTAATTCAGCCGTCGTTATAAAATACATTTAAGTTGTTTTCATGTCCTTGCCAGGTCTCTGTGTAGAGCAGGGTTATTCAACTGGCGGCCCGGGGGCCAAATCAGGCCCACAGGTGAGCTCAGTTCGGCCCACCAATGGGTTCATATTTAAATAAAACTAGATTTGAAACCATAAATCAAACTGCCTGAGCTCTTCAGTGACTGTGGCCCCCTGGGCGATTTAGTGGATAGTCCTGGCGTAGAGTTCATGTTGTTTAATGTCCGCCACCAAAACTGAAAAGATGATCATGTTTACCTCAATTCAAGATGGCCGCCACAACCAAATGACATGAAGAAACATTAAAATGGATCCGAGCTAAAATTAATCAACACATTTTGACAGTGGCACACCATGCCGCTGTTCAAATCTGTGACATCAGCTGTTGGTGTCAACACTGATTGTGTTAGCAAAATATCCCCTGGACAGATTATAGTAAAAGTCTAAAATTCATTAACATTTGGAGCAAATCCAGTTTAAGGTTTGACCAAAACGCCTCTGCGCTCCAGCCGCTGATATTTCCGAGTCCACTTCAAGGTCGGATTTCAATCAACGTTCCGCCCATTTTTAAGAGAAGATTGTAAATAAACTCAAACGAACGTGGACAATTAAACAAAAGACCGCTCGAGTCAAAGACTACCAGGTTTGTTTTTATTGAAAAATATAGCAGTTATTTCAGAGACAGGACAGTTAGGGAGGTGAATATATTAATATACAGGAAAACCAGAATTTGGAAGAGGAATACACGTAGTTGGCGTAAAGCTACAGCCACTGGAAAAGAACATGAGCTTTTTTTTTTCTTTTTTTTTTTACAGATGAACTTCAAGTCAGTTGTTTTTCTCTGTCCTGATCCGTTTTTTTTACCACTTACCAACCCCCTGCTGTCAAGCACACAAACATCTTTAACATTGTTTTGGCGTACACTGACAGATAGGACTGTCACGATAACAGATTTTGCCGGACGATTGTCTCAGAAATAATTGCGATAAACGATGATATTGTTTGAAATTTGACATTAGTAATTGCTGGTTTTTGTTATAGTCTGTCACGATAAACAATAAATCAATTAATCGCATGACGAGTTTCAATTTTGGAGCTTCAACAAGACATTTTTCCCCGAGGTCGGCCTGTTAGCTTAGCTGCTTTTAACGATCCAAAAACGCGAAAGTGAGGGTCAGTGAAGAGCACCGGAGTCGAGACTTTTGTGTCTTCAGTAGAAAGAGAGACACGAAGAAACGATAAAGCCGATAAATGAAAATAAGGTTGATAATTTTAATTTATCATGCGATTAATTGTTTATCGTGACAGGTCTACACAGAGACGAATAACAAAAACCAGCAGGTAAGAAATCATGGGCGCTTCCACAACAGCTCAGCAAATCTTCTTCAAGCTGCCTCTTAACTCACAGTGAGCCGCCCCCGTCGCACATGGATGTTGGTTTCTAAAAATTAATCGAGCACGGCCGACCCAAAAGAGTCGTAAAGTGGAACTCTGCTGCATAAACTCATCCAAGCACGATAAACTCAGCTTACCGACCTTCGTGTTTAACCAAACATTTGAATTAGATGTTCAAAACGATGTCAGTCTTCTCCTGTATGCTTTTAAATCCAGCGAGCACGTGGTCGCACCACATCACGTTACTGCTCCATGCACGCCGCCTCAGTCCATTCAGAAATCACAGAAGACTCAAAGTCTCAGTGTTTTCACGCAAGACATCTTAAAATATGAAGACGAATCAAAATGCATATTTAAACTTGACCAGTTTTCCTTCAAGTACATTAAATCAGTTAATGTTTGATGTTTAAACAATTCTTTTAACTTGGTCTGCAGCTTAATGACCAGATGTTTTCCTTTTTCAATTTCTCATACAACGTAAATTAAATATACGTAGTGTCTACGAAACCTTAAATAGGTCATGCTCCAATCCAGTTAATCCATATATTTGGCAATTTTCTGCAAAAAATCTTTAAAGTTTCTTGCAACATTCTTTGCTCCAAGACGTGGCAGCAACCAAACGCAGAGAGGCACATATTCCTCGTTTTATGTCCCACAACAGGAAAAGTCGACGCTCTGATTTGTCAAATGTGACAATTAGTTGTTTTTTAACACAAATAAAACAAAAGGTCAAACATTTTTCATGGATAAAGTGAAGTAAACCTCAGTGGTTTATAGCTGTACTAACAGACAAAAGCTCGGACGATTGAAAAAGTCCACCTGTCTGTTCCTGGAGCAGCTCCAGCTGCTTGGGGGGTGGGGGGGCAGTAATCCAACACATTCAATGAACAGGCTGGAAAAGGCCACATGATTGGTTGATTTAATCATCTCTTCCTACCATGTGATCTGACACGTAGAGGACGTCAGTGTTGTCACCTTGGGAGTCGGCTCAGCAAATACATTTCACTCTGTGCTCAGACACTGAAAAGTACATGCACTTGTGCACGTTGTTACATCCTTTTCTCCGTCCTCACAAACGAGCCTGGATCGAGCAGAACTGTAATTGCAGCGTAGTTTAAAACAATGGTTTTATTGCTACTAACCTGCTTAATGATGTAGAATTACAGATCATATCACGGTTTGTCTTATTAAAAACGTACAAGAAAAAAAAAGTATAAAAATGCCTTTTTTACAACTTCTTTTAGCTCTTATTGGCCCCTATGACATCATCAATCAAGCCTGAATCATCACCGTTGTGCATCTGCATCGACCGTGTGTTATAAAACTGGTCATCATGGAGGTGGAGCTTTAAGCCCCGCCTACTTCCTCACACAATTATAACATACAGCAGCAAGGTAGTGCCAACATGATTCAACCTGTTAATATACAAAGATGAATCCCATGAGTTTACATGGAGGGGGTGAGACTTAAAACTTACACTGGTCCTGTTCAAGCTTCAACTTCTAGGATCTCATAAGAAGTCCAGAATTATAAGTGGTCGATGGGCGTCTGGTGCAGGGAAGTTGATCCACCGATCGGCCTCTGCAGCCTCACGGCAATATTTTTAAATACACTGATAAGCTGCAACTGATGTGTGAAAAGGCCTTCTGTTTTGGCAGTTAAAAAAAAAAAAAAAAACACGTCTACTTCTATGCAAAAATATCTTGTAGTACCATGTTTGCAGTGTCAAAAATACAAAAACAAGCTCAACACTTTTAAAGACTTAGCAGTTCACATTAAGACTAATCCATCCCTTATGACAAACGTCTCAATTTAAAATACAGATCTTCCCAAAGAGTGACAAAAATAATTAACCCAACACAAGTAGGCTACTGTAGATGAACTATTACTGTATGTACACAATATAAAAATAGCATAAATCACCCTTAAACGTGGATGAAAGTAATCTGAGTAGTGTCCATGCAAAAACTGTCATTGACCCACTGGGATTATAAACCTGTTCCTTATTTACATCGGCTCTCTCTAGAATCCGACAACACATCCACATCATCTTTTCTTAAAACCAAACCTCATTTCTTACTGTGACTTTTACTTGGGATTTATTTTGTAGGGGGAGGAAAAAACCAACTATAACTCTGAGGTGGTTTGTAGCAGAAATGACATGACTAACCCAATTGTTTTAAAAAAAAGTTCTCAAGCAGTTATCACTACAGCACAGTGAAAAGGCCTAATAGTATTTTTAGTGTTGAGTAGAGCGTACTGACATTAGACTGATCTACAATAAGTAGAAACCTCACGTTACCCTGACTGAAAACCTCTTGTGGTTCTCCATTTTGTGACAAACACCCAAAACCTGCTTTTGTCTTTAGTGCCCAAGAAGACTGTTTATGGCAGTGAAACCTTCGCTCACACTCTTATTTCATCCTCATCCTCATCCATGAAGGTAAACTCTTCTTCTCCATGTGGCGAACTGAACTTGGCACTGTCTGTGTCGCCATCTTGGAGGGGGTATCGAGGTTTCTCTGAACCTGAGCTGGACACAGAGCAGCTATCCATGTTATGATGGCTGTGCCGGGGATTTAGCTCGGGAGTGTAGGGATCCGCTGTGGTCTTGTACTGGTACGTGCTGCGAGGTGGTCTTGAAGGAGCCTGCTCTTCAGCATCATCATCATCAATGTGGGGAATGTGTGAAGGAGACGCATAGCCCTCACTACTCTTGCCTTCCTCGTAGCCCTGGTCATCGTCCTCCCAGCTTTTCTTCTCCATCACACCCAGGATGTCACCGAGCATCGAGGGGCCCAGGTCAATGTGGAAGGACATCATGGACTCTGCATGCTTCATCCCGCCTCCTTTAGGCATGGATGGAGGCAAGTCTTTAAGTTCGCCAAAGTTCTGCTCGTCAAGCTCTACATCGAGCGTCGCCATTGCTGCCGCTCCATTAACCGGCTTGCTTTCGGCCTCTGCCAGCGTCTTCATGGGGCTTGAGGAGGCACTTTTCGGCAGCTGGTTGGTAATACCTCTGCTGGAATTCTCCTCGTTTAGGTAAGGCAGGGATATGGCGGTTTTCACAAACTGAGACGAGCCAGCAGAAGACATGTACTCTTGCTTGTCCGCTCGATTTACTGACTGCGACCGCTTGCTGCCTCTGAAGGTGCGGGTTAGTATCCCTGGTTTGGAACCTGGAGAACCGAGCTTTTTGTTCGACTCCTTGGAAGGTTCTCCTGATCGAGTGCTAAGGAATGATGTGTCTCCAAACGCATCCCCTGCTCGACCCACATGCATGGTGTGACGGAAGTCCCCCATAGGAGCACTGATCATCTCTACAGTCAGGTCCACTCGAGACCTCCGCTTGGATTGGTTAGAGTTGTTCACCAGCTGCTTGAGGATAGGCATGTTGTCAGCCTCTCCGGTGTAATCCACTGGGGGGGAAGAGTTTTGTAGGCCTTTTTAGGGAGCTTTTCCCAAACTTCTTTGGCAACTGTATGAGATATTATCAAAGCAAGTACAATTCCAGGTGTTTAATGTTTGTAGCCATTCTGCTCCTTCGGCTCAGATTTCAGTTTGGGGAGACGTCAGCCTATCAAAGAAACAACAAAAGACTATTAAAACCAGATCAGGATTTTCAGAAAACGTAAAGTTTGGCATAAAGTGCTCATCATAACAGACGTGCTAATTTCATAAAAAAATGAAACACTTTGATTTGAACGCTTTGTTTCCACACACACCCCTCGTCACCAGCTCCCTTCATTGCTCTCTATAAAGCTTAAAAACTTTTTTGGCCAAGACTTCAAAACTAGGGCTAGCATGACAGGCTTCTGAACTGGCAACAGCTAAAATGTGCAAAAATTCATGAGGGTGTTATGTAACAGTGAAAGGAGGGTACGAGTACAGACTGTATTCTTTTCCAGTACAAGTTCCCTCCACACCACCAATGAAGTTTGCCACAGGTAAGTTTCCATTCAGCTGCATTCTTTTTTCTTTTTATATACAATTTTGTGCTTTCTCTATCTCGTTTTCTATGACTCGCAGTGTCTGCTATAACTGTGCTTTAGTTCCCATTTAAGCCTCTGACTATTACATAACCAGTAAGAAACATTATACTGGAGGCCAGACAAATTCAAGCTTGCATGGAAAAGAGACAACAGAAAGAATAGAACTGTTTTTTAGTTTGTATTTCTTCTAGGGTTGACGTTTAGCTTAAACACACCCGGCCTCTCTGTTATCGTAATGACAGTCACTTTTTTATTTGAAATGTCAATTTAAATTTTTTACTTTCCCAACATTGAAAGTAGGGATGCACGATATTAGAGAAAATTAAAAATTGGACATTGGCCTTTCCATCAAAATAACTGCACTGTTTATATCTATCTCTCTCAATATCTTTCTATCTCTAAATATATAGATATATAGATATAGGCTCTGTTTTTGTATGACAACCCAGTAGCAAGGATGCCTGCAGCGCCAGCACAACGTGATGTCACGTGCGCTGTTGAGTTAACGTTTGTGAACATTTTGTTTGAGTGTTATTGTGTTAGAGAGTAAATGTCATGAATAAATTTGACATAAAACTAATCCAAGTTGAAGTGTTACATCATGTTCAGCCCCTTTTCGGTAGCAGCCAAACTGACAAAGACCACGCAGCATAAAGTAGTGTTTTAATTACATGGCAGAGGAAGCTGTGTAGTCTCTGTAAGTAAGTCTAAGAGAGAAATTTAAAAATGGGTATTGGTATTGGTTATCGACCAAATAAGTTTTAACATATCGTGCATCTCTAATTTAAAGGCCCAGGTTGGGCTATGATGAGGTTTGAAACACAATCTTAAAACTGAATTAAGTGGAGAAAAGGTTTAAACACCCACTTATGTGCAAGCTACAGACGGAAACAAGGACCCCATTTGTTTGAACCAAACTGCAATACCATCATGGAGTGTGTTCAAGCTGAAGCCAACACTCCAGGCTTGCTTGTGTCTCCTCATGAATGAATAGGAGCTCAACTATATTCCACGAGGACGTCACCCATGATAACATTTGCATTTCTTACAAGAACCCATTCAGCTGGAAATGTGATTGTAACGCGAGAGGGTACAGAGAAGGGGTTGATGGATGATAGATGCAAGTGCCACTTTTTGTTCGCTCCTCTTTCAAATGACAGATCGCCCCAGAGGAGAGCTGTGTTTTGTTTAATCTCCTGGATCCAACAACTCCATTCAATAGTTCAGACACTAATGGGGGAGATGGACTGACCTCACAAAAGGCTGGACGAAAAAAAATAAAGCAAATGAAACTAAAATTTTTTAGTCAAAGTTCAAGCTCACACCAAATATCGAAAAACTGGAATAAGCTTATTAGGAAAGCTATTCAACAACGTAATGCAAATACTTTAAAGCTTTTAAACAACAACAACACCAAATGATCCATGAAAAAACTGGTTAAACTACTGAAGTATGATCTATCAGTAGGTAAACCTTCTGAGTTCATGCATTTTACAGAAACCAGTGAGTAACGTTGCTGAACGTGTGACCGACCTCCGATAGCTCATCAACTATTCTACTCCTCCTCACTGCAGTTTGTATTTCTCTATGGCAACATCAGAGCAGAGTTATGGCCAACGAATGAGTGGACTTCCTGTCTCTGAGCTGGCCGGAAACACAAAGAGGAAAAAATAATAATAATCCTCCCCCTACATGGAGAGATCAGCTCTTTTTGATGGATTAACTCTTCGTGGTGGCCACATACAGAGCAATAAGACAGCCTGCTTAATGCAAGAACTGAGGAGGAACGCTTTTGATGTCACAACGAGATATTCAATCTCAGCATAAAAGATGTCGGTGGGCTCTCAAATATCAAAAAGACACAAACCTCACACCTTGGGCTATGACAAGAAATGGACCATTTTATGCCTTTGGGTGCCCCTTGATGTTTGATGAGGAGCAGTTTCAAACCCCCCTAAGGTCGTCAAGACACCATTATTGTGACCTTGACAAAAGATGAATTATGGCCTGCCTGCAGTTCTGACATAGAAATTCTAACCTTTCAGTACACTGTAATAAAAGAGTCATGAGCTTCATGAGCACTATACTGTTTAAGAAAATGCTTTGTGGCGTTTGTTTAGCAGTACAATCAAATCTACACTGACGTTGGCTGGTTGTCATGGCTAAAAAAAGTTTTCAAAGTAAAGTGAACTGAACTTTAGTGTCATTATGACGTTTTTTTTTATTAAATTTGTACTTCTACCATTGCTGTCATTTCTTTAAAAGACATTTGTATTTATTTTGCTCTTGTCTAAATGCTGTCTAGACATCTGAACATGACGTTATGCCCTCACGTACGTCTCACAAAGGCAGATATTCAAAGATGTTAAATGTACGGTAGCTTCTCTCAGATGAGAATCATTTCCTCAGTTGTTGTGCCTACAGTGAACAAAGTCTTTATATAACTGAGCACCCACCAGAGCCATGTGACTGGAGCACCAACAGAGACGAGTGGTGACAGGGTCATAAATGATTAAGAGCATCTTATGTTGAGAGCAGACTCTAATGTGGGTAGAATGACATCACAACAACCAACGAGCTCAACAGCGATCAGTCTCACATTTGTAATCCCATGGATCACAAACGCAACGCTCAACTACCCCTCACTACTTTCTCTCCTTTGGCAGCACGTTCTGTCATAGCTGAGCTAATGTCAAGTCAAACCAGCAGGCGTAAACGGACTTTTTTTTTTTTTTCTTTGCTGCCGTTACACTTCTTAACAGTGAGATAGGTTCTTTCCCTATCTTTTATTTACGAGTTGGAAGCCTTCATGAAAACGCTACAGCAAGACAGGAAATGGGTAATTACATAACCGCTCTTGGATCCCAACTCTTGTCTGACCAATTATCCTGATTTAGGAGGAATTCTTAAACGGGTAAAACAGAATGATGACGGTAGGCTTGCAAGATTCTACACAAAAAGTCAAAGAATAATAGAAATACAGTGGTCCCTCACTTATCGCAGGGGTTACGTTCCAGACACCCCAGTGATAGGTGAAAATTTGCAAAGTAGAGACATTATATTTGTTAGTATTTATATATATATTAAGGCTTTATAAACCCTTCCCCACACTCTTGCAATGTTCTTAATAATGTTCTAAACTCTCTAAATGCTCTAAAAGAGCACAGCGAAAGAGAGCAGACAGACTGATGCTACAGTTACTGAGCAAATCCCGGTATCATGCCAAAAACTGATTGGTGCAGCGGGAGCAAGCAAGAGAGGCCTTGCTGTTTCAGTTGTTCGAAATTTAACAAGATTAACCCTACAAACAATCATTTGTTTACTCAACATTATAGCAAAGGAGTGTCACCATTAACTTTTTCCTTAATAAATGCACTGTAATGGTCAAAAAAGCTCCCATGGTGCCAATCGTTTTAACACTTTTTGGCACAGCACCAGGGGTGAACTGGCCATAGAGAGCGCCGGGACATTTCTCGGTGACCTGGCCCGCTCAGTGATCGCCAAGGGGCTGGACCACAGGCTCGGTTCGAGTCACGCTTGATTATTTTAAATAAACAATCCATACTGCTCACTCAGGTATCAGCTCCCACAGACTGAACAGTAGTGATGGGGAAAGACAGACCCTGCCCCTCCTTTCTCTTTCTGAGGCTGTCTGTCACTCTGCTGTGACAGACAGCCTCAGAAAGAGAAAGGAAGAGGCGGGGGTGGGGTCTGTCTTTCCCCATCACCGATCGTGTGTTGGGTACAATCTTACATTGAAAACCCGCGAAAGAGTGAGTCCACGCAAGTCGAACCACCAAGTATCGAGGGACTATATAACTGAATCCCAACTATCTGCTGATCATGAAAAACAGGACGTGTAATATATATAAACTGCTGAAAAATACAAAAGGAGCTGTGGTTAAAGACATAGGAAACATTGTAATTTATGTAATTTGAATTACATTACTATACATTCCCACAACACTGATGGGTAAAGTGAACAGTGTGTGCAAGAGAAACCGTGGGCGGCAAATATTTATGTAAATGTTACGTGAATACAATACAGTACCAACAATCTTAACCTTAGCCCTACGCTCCTCAAACTTCCCGTGGATCTGATGCTTGGCAAAACAACACTCCAGGAACAGTTTGAGAAGAAGATGAAGCTTAATGTGATTCAGCCTCTTTATTCTTCCAGCACTCAACACGCACCTGACCTGACTCCATGAAGGGCTTTACAGTCCAAAACACCACAGGACACTCAACAAAGTCCTGTATCATCGTCATAGCTGCTCTGAACTGTTTGTGCTACACAACGCGCTACAGTTCCCAGAGCTGAATACATTTTTTTTTTTTTTTTTTTTAGGAAAAGCCAAGAGGACAAAACATTAAAGAATTAATTTTATTTTCTTTCCTAATTGGATCGATGACTTTAGAGATTTTTTTTTTAATGCTGCAGTCACTATTATTATTAAGAAACTGATCAAAACTAATACAAAATAAAAAAAAACTGTTGTAATTATTTAACAAGTAATGTAAAACTGAAAGTTGAATAAGTTTATATTTGGTGATCTCAGCTGACATAAGGTCATGAGCAAAGCCT